GGCCGCCGCTAACGGCCGCGCCGCGCGGTTCTGAGCGCGGCGCCCGGAGCCTCGTGTGTGGTAACCGAGTCCCGCGAGGAGGGCTCCTGTTGGCTCAGCCCGTGGTATCCTGCCCTGTGTAGCTTGGCCCTGCACTGCCCTGGTAGTCGTGACGCAAACGGTCTCGTTACAGAGCTGGCAGCCGCGACGCCAGGCAGCCTGTCATGTTCCAGGGCCAAAAGTCAGTGTGTTATCTCGCTGCTTAGCACCTTTAAATAGCTTGTGATGCCCAGTGACAAAGGTTTGTCATAGTTCCTGCCGGCTCAAGTGTTTACAAAGCTTTGAAGGCTTGTTCCTTTCCGCAGTGATGGGCAAAAGGAGCTCTAACCCGAGGGAGGTGTTCTGAGTTTAGTGGGGCTGAATGCTGTCAGGGGAGGCCTCCTTGCTGAGGGTCTTGCTTGACCATGGCCACAGAAAACAGGCTCAGCCTGAGGATTTCATTTAGTACTGGCATGTACTTCCACTGTATTGTAAATGTGGGTTGAATGGCCAGTCTGGGGCAGCAGAGAGAATTTCTATTCCCATGCAGATTGTATGCAGAGGTGGGTGGGAGGGCGCCAAGGGAGCCGCAGGACTTGCTCGGCAGCATTCTGGCACCTCTCTAAACCTAGGAAAATAGAAGTACCTTCTATGCAGAATAAAAAGCCACACAGTAGGTCTGAGGGCCTGTCTCCCACATGGGATTTCTGAGGGTGGACCGGAAGATTTGGCGTGCCTCCTCAGGTTTTATGTTCAGGTGCAGAGTTTAGTGTGGGGGAATTGCTAATATGTGAACTTCAGTTATGTCTCAAAATTTGATTTCTATGCGCATTTGATTTCTATGCTCAAAACCTAAGGGGAGCTTAATCTTCTTTTTCAGTGCAACTTCTTAAAGGAATCATCTGACTTTTACCATGGTAGAGTGCTACAGAATGAAAATAAGCTAGAAAATGTCTCCCTCTATTGAATACTCATAGAAAGCAACTCTTCAAATAATCCAGGTCAGGAAGAAAGAGTGAACTGCACCTCTCATCCAGCCTATTTGGCAGAGCGCTGCTGCTGCTGCATTATTTTAAACAGAGTTGGACTGAGAGACTGGAGTCAGGAGGACCCAGGTTTCGATGGCAGCAGCACCCAGGCGTTTTACCGCTTGGCTTTGGAAGGGAGAGGAGATGAGCATCTGCTCCTTAGTGCTGGTGCTGGGGTCCCACACACTCCTTGCTCTGAGAAAGCTCGCAGCGGGTTGGCGGGAGGCACCAATTGCTAGCATTACTTAGAAGGTGCCACCAGGTGCAGCTGCTGAGAATTTCCTTGTGTACACCAAAATAAAAGCTTCCTACAGTGCGGCTCAGAGTTTCGCTTTCTGTTAGATCTTCTAATTATTTAAATAGCTTCATATCAGTATGGATATGTCTGTTTTCTCTAATGTGTGTACTTCAATATATTTTTTTTTTGTATGGATGCTGAGAACCAAAGCAAGTTCTTTTTGTGCTCTGTCTATTGGAATTGGTCCCACTTCCTATTTTGTTTTACAGCAAGCAAGTGTAAACACACGACTTAAAGGTTCATTTGGTTCTTTACACAGCTGTGTGATCCAGTAGAAAGCATGTTTAGTTTTACAGGCCTTTTGCTACTTGTATCACTCAATGTACTGTGTTTCACTGTGTTCAGTCAATTCGTAACTTGCATTACAACATCAAACATTTAAAGGGGTAGCTTAAGAAACGAGTTTTAACTTTCTCTGTTTTCTGTGTTCAGTGATTGTCATCCAGTATAATCCTGATAGCGACTCTGGTTAGGCTGGTGACTTTCTGTTTACTTATAAATTAGATTTCTTCAAAGACAACATCATAAATAAAAGAGGACTTTAACCCGCAATGTCAGTTAGATTGCTGTACAGTCAGGAACTTCCCATGGCAGTTGTTCTGTGTTTGTGTCGCCTTGCACATGAAGGACAGCTGCATCCCACGTGCAAAGTATTCCACCAGTTGTTTCACCCGGGAGCATATATTTTGTCAAATGTTTATTTTAATTTGTCTGATCTCTACTCTTGCTTGTACACAGATGTTTGAAAAGCGTATGGAATATGTGAGAAATATCTTTGCAGCTTGCGAGAAAAAAGAACTTGAGGTAAAAACCACGAGACCAAGCCTAGAAACTGTTCCTTGGAGGTAAGCTGCCTCAATAGAAGTATGCCATTCAATTTCATCTAGGATTAATAGTAGGGTTACTCAATGATATGTTGTAGGTGGTATTTTTAAAAATGACCTGCTTACCAAAAATATAGGAAGTCTGCTGCTGGGAGGCAAAATCTGTTTGAAACATTTACAAAACAAGTCCCCAGAAGAGTTCATTTAATTCATGTTTTATAAAGTTCTTGAGCATGTGAAATAACATATGAAGACAGCACAGAGAGAAAGATAGAGAGCAGGATGTTAGAAAAGAATGAAACAAGACTTCCACTTCCTGTCTGCAAGTGGAACTTTGTGACTTTCAATGACATAAATTTTGATTTTTGAGGAACAGTTAATGTCTTACCTCATCATAAATAAATTCAGCCATAAGACGCCAGCGTTAAGTAAGCGATCATTATAATTCAGCATGGCTGAGTAACATAAACAACATTTAATGCATTTAGAGACAGTCTCCACAGCCATTCCCCATACATAGGGAACATATTTTGTTACTAATTTGAGGAAATATGCAATGATAACTTTTTCCCAACTGGCTTTGTAAATAACATTTAGTGTGTGTTAGGTTCCTATTACTCCTGCCTTCAATATCCTTCCTGTCTGACCACATCTCATGTTCACTTTGGTTTGTTACTCATTGGCAAGTCAAGGCGTTTTTATTCGTTACATACAACATATGAAATAGTTAGGTCTAAATGTCTATTTTACTCAGTATATGCCAGAACTTAAATTGGTCTTCCATTAGAAGTAGTTTTGAGCTTTAATCTATTAACTTAAAACATTTAGGAATATATATTTGAAGTGTATGCAATTTGAAGAAGGCTTGTAGTAAAAATATCTGTGCAAGACAGTAAAAGGAGGCGGAGGACAGTTTAGTTCAGGTATGGGTGAAGAGCAGCAAAATCTAACTCCAGGTTTCCCAGTGATTCGCAGAGTCATACTTGGTTTTGTATTTGCCCATTTGGATACAGATGCGAGCTACTTGGGAGTTTGCTGTGCATTTGTGAATAAAAGTCTCCGTTTGAGAATTACCTTTAAGTATAGATGTTGAAGTCAACTCATCCATGTAAACGTTCAAATATTGGAAATTTAGGAGTAGATATGCAGGTTTTCAAATCCAGATTGTGCTTTTTAGATGCTGACGTTAAATTTGGGAAGGGATGGATTTTTGTGTGAGCCCAGAGAGGTTATGGAGTCTCCTTCTCTGGAGATCTTCCAAACCTGCCTGGATGCCACCCCGTGCCACGTGCTCCAGGTGTCCCTGCTTGAGCAGGGGGTTGGACTAGGTGATCTCTAGAGGCCCCTTCCAACCTCAACCAGTCTGTGATCCTGTAATGCTGCTCTAACGTGGGAAGGGCAGCGCTGTGTAATTTTGGGAGCCCTGGATTACCGTCAGGAGGAGGACAGGGAGATGCTTTCGGCAGTAGGCAGAGGACACGCGGAGGCGAGCGCTCAAGCTGGCGCGTGCTCGTACACGCGCCCTGCGCGGAGGGGCCGGTGCTCGGGCGCTGCTGCGGGGCCACCTTTGCTCCGGAGGAGCGGCGGGCGAGGCGCGGCTGCGGGGCGCGCACAGGTGCGAGGCGCGGCCGTTGGGAGAAGGCGGGACGGGCCCGGCGGTGCGCGCGGAGAGCCGGCAGCGCGCGGGCCAAGGCGGGGGGCGGCTCCGCGCGCGCCTCTGCCGCGCTCCTGCTCCCGGCGCCGCGGCAACCTCCTGCAGCGGGCGCTTGGCAGTGCTCAAAGTCAATTACGCCTCTCTCTTCTATTGCCCTTGCTTTTCCTTTTCTCTCTCTTCCTCCTCAGAGCACACGCACCGAGCTATAAACGCGTACATCAGACTTTTATTTACTTATTTATTGTATGCCTGCTTATAGATGAAGAAAGCATAATGCCTTTGCCATATGTTATGCTGGTATATGTTGGTTAGATCTGCAGAAAGCCACATCCAAGAGCTTCTGAGTAGGGAAAATTAAACCGGTGTTATTTTCCACGGAGAAATTAGAGGGTCTGTCCACACGGCACTTCTGAGCCTGAAGGCATATATGGCAGTTTGTAATTATTTTTTCCTATATGTTCCTTCAAAAGAAGTCCTCTTGTGTAAATGGAAAATAATTTGAATAAGGCAATTGGTGATTTCGAGGATGAACTAAAGATTCTACTGAACTAAAGAACTACTGTCAGAGTAGCAGTAAATGTTTTAATATTAATTATTTCTGTAATACATAGAAGTGGCAGCAGGAGCCACAGTGTGATTCTGATGATGAATCCAGAGACAACAGTAGTCATGCTGTCTTAATTCTTTCTTGTCAACTAAAAGTTGTTTATCTTATAGCACTACACTACACACTTTTTTTTTTTTTTTTTGTTAATGTTCCGCTAAGAGCGGGGAAGGAGAAAGAAGAAAGAATTTGGTGCTTACGCAATTAAGGTTCAGGAGATGACAGAGCAAAATACAACAAATACAACCCACCAATCTTCTGATTTGAATTTTGTGACTCCTCTTTGCTGAAAATCAGTTTTTATTATTATTTATTTTTGGCCTTTCTCTGGTAAGTTCTGTTTTGAGGAAGAGGAGGTTGATTTAATTTTTCTCCTTCCACAGTTGCTTCTTCCACAGCAAAGTAATTAATTCCTCCTAGGTGACATAATTCTCCTTGTTATTATTAGCACCTGCTTTAATAAGAAAGATTCTGATCTTCTCTTTTCTCTATGCATGATAACTGCCTTTGTAAGGAGGAATATTTTGATTAGAAAATGAATGATAATTTTGTTAACTTAAAAGAGAGAGAGGAAAAAGACTGGACTTGAGAACAGAAAGCAACAGGTCCGAAAGCGCATGTTTAGAAACGTGCTCCCTTACAAGTGTTGTGTCACAGATAAACAAAGAGAGTTGATAATTATAACTAAAAGAGGAGGTAACAATATATAGTAAATGAGTTTGTATCGTTCCAGTGAAATCAACTTGATACAGCCTTTTCTTTTTTTGTTTTTATTTTCTTCTAATGTCCTTTTCACTTACCCATATGTAACTGAGAGTTGAAGTAATGTCCCTGCTCAACAGCTACCTTTTTTTTTTTCCCCCACTTATTTGTCAATATTTCTTCCAGGCACATTTTCTTTCTCGTATTTGTTAAACTTTCAGATAGTTATTTTCCTTCTCTTCCCATAAAAAACTTTTAGTGTTTTCTTGATCTTTGACTGTAGCATATCATATTACGCGGTGATATTCTCTTTGTTTTCTGTCCATTCACCCATTCACTGTTTCTTGGATTGTAGTGACATCAAGTGTGTGTCATCTGGACTTAGTCATCTTAAATACAGTAATAGTATAAAAATAATTCTGCAAACTCTTGTTTGGTTTTGTCTGCAGCCGTTCTGCCCTTCAGTGTTGACCTGAGGTACAAATCAGGTTTTGTCTCTGTCCTGATTCCTGTGCGAACAAAAATCAAGAGCTTTAGCCAGAGATACTAAAGGGACTACTAGCCTGCGAGATATGAGTCAGGTTCGTTTGCTATCAGTTAACGGCATTGCAGTAAATAATTGGCTATTTTATCCTGCTAATGCAAGCCTCACTGAGTGGTTACGTGTTGACTAGCACACGTGAGACTTGCATTTTGAGTTTTTCCATTGCCTCGTAAATAAGTAAAAGCTTCAGTTTTGGTAGGCTGACAGTTTTGTGGCAAAAGAATTGTGAAGCTGTAGAGACAACTGGCAATCACCAAATCTCCAGCAGATCTGATGCCGTTCAAGCTGGTGTGGTAATAGGACTATTCCTCTGGCATTCTCTAGGGTGCTTGTAGAGGCAGGCTGCAATTAGCAAGTAATCAGATTGCCTGGTGTAGCAATACCTGTTCCATATCCTGCATGGTCTTGGTCCTTCCCCTAAGCAAACCCTGTCTAAAGCAAACAGTTTGCATCTGAGGGCAGGGAAGGCTGTTGTCAGGATGATGCAGATGTTCCTACTGTTATGCAACTGAGTTGCAGTCCAGCTGTTACTTCACCTCCTGACCAAAAGTGTTTTGCTGTCATATAATTACTCATCTTACAGAGTTGTAGTTATGGACAGCTGTGTATAGTTTATGATTGGTGTAGTGCTTTGCTTATCCAGTGTTAACTAGGGTCTTCCATTAATCAACAAGAAGCATCACAGGTATACAAAAGCAGAGCAAGTAGGTATAAGGAGATAAGGAACTTCATAAGAACATATTATAAACTCACTATGAATTAACTATGTAAAGTTCCCTCACAGAAAAGACTATTCCTGAATGAAAAATAATGATGGTGTCTTGATGGAGGAACAGAGTTTTCTAGAAATCACAGTAGTGAGGTAAATTGGATCATGGCAATGCTTCTTCGCGTTCCTTGTGTGAGTTCAGGATTAGGTGTCCCTGAATCCATGTATAATGTGCAGCTGCTCTGTTCACCAAAATCTGTGGGGTACTTTCTTAAAGTAAATCAAAACTAAACCGTATCTAGTAGGAAGGAGAAACTCATGATAAACCTAATGTCACAAGAATATAAGCATCTTAATGCATAAGTTGAGTCAAAAATAGCAAAGTCTGGATTTCTTTAGTTATTTCTTTGGCAAGGAGAAGAGGAACTGTTTGCATTTCATCACATTCTCAGTAGAATCTTTAAGGGTTAGCAGATTGTTTAATATATTAAATTTCTCGTTATTTCTCAAAGCTTATCATCAGGAAAGAGAGAGCAGTAATAACAAAAAAAAAAAAGGATTTCTGATGAGCCTCAGTTGTTTTTGGCTGAAATAAAGAAGTAAATATATGTGCTGTGCTAGCGCAAACAAGTGATTTCAGGTTTTAGCTTTTATTTCCTGTAGCGCTGTGTGTGTGAGATATGATGCAATGCTTCACCTAGCCAGCTGCTGCTCCTGCTGCGCACCTTGCGCTTCGCTCCTCACCTGATTCTGGCGCCGGGGACAAAGCTCTCTCCAGGCCGTCTGATGCAGACCCAGCAGCACTCTCTGGCTCAAAAGTTCAGTTAAATAGTGGCAAACTAACAGACGGACAAGGAGTTCTGAAGTGCACCAGTCTCTCTTCACTTTATTCAGATTTATGAATGCGCAGAAAACAATTTTTCCGTCTGCTTTAGGCTCTTAGTCTGTATCTGACCACAGTACTAGGCCCCCAGGAGCCCATATCAGGAGCTTGATGAAATCTTCCCTCCTTTCGTTAATGCTTACGTTTCCTTTCAGTGGAACTGAGAGCATGCAGAGGTTATTGCACATGTGGCTTTGGTTCCAGTGTACAGGCAGGATGTGACCAAAACGCACAGTGCAGTAAGAGAAGAGTGTCTCCAGTCCATTTATTGTTTTTTGCATTTTTTTTTGCATACTTCTGCATTTTGACACTTAAATAACATGCATCTCAAATCAGGCTTGAGAGAGTGTGTTTACTGATCCTAAATATGATACCAAAATTTCTATACAAAACTTAAGAAAGTTGTATAGGTTTACTGGGTTCTATGTCATTTACTAAATTAAGAATCTGGGGCTTCTTGCAATTAGTTAAGCAGGAATAAAAGTTACCTTGTCTTCAGAAGCAGAGGAACTGAGTCATCCTGGAAAGATTCAGGTACAAAATGAGACTAGTTGCTGTTGTTCTTTTTAAAGGAAGGAATAAGGAACATTTCTGACCTCTCTTTGTTTTCTGTGCGGTGTATCATCACAACCTGTACTTCAAGTGTAAATATATGACCTTCATGCTTTCCTGACACTACATGTTCCTGGAAGAATATGATTTTATCTAGAAATACTTTAGTTGATAGGCGTTTAATTGCACAAGTGTATAAATGAGTGATTGTTGCTACATCAGGCAGAACAATAAAGATGTTTGAAATATTAACCAGAACAAAGCAATAACTACTTAATTGTCATAAGTGAATGAGTACATTTTACTTATCTGATAAAAACTGTATTCAAATCAAAATTTTCCATTCCTATTAAGAACCTAAACTGTTACTAACATTGATATGTTAAAACTAACAATCCACCAATTATAGACAAGCACCATGGAATATTTAATTTATGCATTTTCCACTTATTTTTTATTGCTTTTCTGTATATAATGTCCTGAGTAAATGTCTTAAGGCTGCTTTTTACTATGTCCTAATGCAGGAAGAGATTTGGATCTAAAATGAGGATTGAGGGGTTTTGTTTGTTTTCTTGGGTTTTTTTGGTTTGTTTTTTGACCAGCATTTAAGATAACACCCTATTAGAACTTAGTTTTGTTTTCTTTTAGACAGATTTGCTTATCTATTTTCAGTTAGATATCGTATATAGTATTTAAATGAAATTTAAAAATCTATGCTAATATATTTTCAAAATATATATACCAATACATGTTATGCCAAAAACAATAGTGGGCCTGAGCTCATTCTACAATTAAAAAATTCAGTGATTAGATTTGATCTGCAGTTAATCCTAAAAGGGTGTAGTGGGTTTTTTTTTGTTTGTTTTGTATTGAAATATGATTTTGGTTTTCTCCCTAGTGTGAACGCTGAGTTCCTGTGTAACAAAACTGCTGACACACTGTTCTTTTTGATGTCACTGGGTCCATACGATGCATCTGTGTTGGCCTCTGCTGTCTTGAGCCCCTGAAGTGGATATTATCAAGACAAATAGATGCAGACAGAGCATACTCCCACCTAGTTACTCTCCTCAGTTAAATACCTATGTCAAGAGCTATAAAAACAGCGTGAGATTATCCTTACTGCAAGTTAAACCCCGTGCATTGTCCTACTGAACTTCTGTATTTAATAACCTAGACTTGCAGTTGGGCGAGGGTTTCAACCAACTCAGAGACTTGTACCTGGCTAAAATAAGCTTTTCTCCTATTTCTGGGCTACAGCATCAGCTATAGCAAGTGTCATCTCTTTCAGAGTATGGATGGGACAAATGAGCAGAAACAATTCTTCACTCACTAAATTTTCCCTTTCAACTATACTAAACAAACCAGCCTGAACTCTTACTTCAGAGGCTTACGGAGGTTTAAGATGCGTGTTAAGACATATTGTGTCTGTGGGCAAGGCCCAGCAGTTCTGCACTTCTAACCAGGACTGTACAGAGTGAGTGAATGTACCCAGTGCAGGTGAAGCTGCTTCTGAATTTATAGTAATTTGTCTTGATTATCTCTAACCTATTACAAGATGCAAGTAATTCTGTGCTGTGGCATTATCAACAAGGCGATTTACGTATCACAAATTTTGGAAGGTGCCCATATTGGGAAGGGTGCAGAAATACCTTTAGAAATTAGCGCATTGCAGAATTTAAGCGTTTAAGAACTAGGTGTTATTTGGGGAATTTTACCTCCTCATTCTGACAGAGCAAAACCTAGGCATGCAAAGTGCGCAATAAGAAGACTTAGGAAGGTCTATCTCCTTAGATCAGTTACAGGAAGACAATAAACCACTACAGCTAACTAGTGCAGGGCATGCTTGAATTCTTTAATATGCTTCATTAACCTGAGTAGTGAGCAGTGGTTCCAAGCACAGAGTATGACTAGATCTTTTGCAGTTGGTGTGATCATTTAGCTTTCTTTTAAACAGGGCATTAACAAAACTGATTTTCTGAAAGCGTTCTAGGATGTAGCTTGTAATCAAGAAATGGGAGAAAGGTTATTGCACTGCTAGACTCAGATTTTTCTTCATTTCCTGCTGCTACTTCCAGTTCTGCTTTAGTTTTCTTTTGTTTTTCCCTTGAATCTTAGGAGGAGATAGTGACAAATTGTTTTAGAGCTCTTCTACATTTCCCAAAATCAATTGTTAGTAAAACTAGAAGACTTCATGAAAACGGGAAGTATGTTTGTGTGAAGCTGAAACGATCCTTCTTGACTTTCAGAATGAGTATTTGCTTTAGAGTTTAGTTTTGTTTCTAAACAGTTTTAGTTTCCATTGTAAAGAGTTATATAAATATACAAACATATTAGGAGATAACACAAGATTGCATTTAAAACCATCTTATGTATTGCCATCTTCCAATTACATTATTTCCCATAGATCACGGTTTATCCTGATGTTCCCAAGTGCAAGTAGGACCTTTCGTGTAGACTAGGTGTTGTGGGGCAAGATGATAATTGGAGACAGAGAGTGTTTTGCAGTATATCTGAAACTCCTCTTTCTGAGCCCTCTCTGCCTCACCAAGATGAAATACATTTGTAAAACGCCTTTGTCTATTCTTTCCAAGAAAGCTATGGGAATTTAAAAATATTTGTCAAAGTCCTGTGCAGATCCTTAAGGAGCACCCTCTCCCCATTTAGCATGCTAAACACTTGAGTATTTAGTTTCATAATACTTCCGCTTTTGTTTTCTTAGCTTACTACAGTAATAGCAGTAGCATTTGTGACTATACTATTGCTTAACAAAATGTACAAATTTCAGTACTGTACTCTGAACATACACTCTTTGCCAAAGGTTAGCTAACAGTAATCTTATTTCTATACAATGTATTTTAATACCTTGTTACCTCTCATTCTGCTTCAGACTACAGAAGCATTTGTGTTATAAAAAATTATTCTTTACTAAGAGCAAATGAATACTTGTTCTCTTTTTCAAATTCTTGCTTCACTAGCTGTGTAAATTGAATGAGATATGCAAATATTGGAAATCTTGCTCTATTAATGCTTCAATTCTGAAAGACTCAAAACAGTTTCCCTGTTCCGACCTGAAGAAAGAGGTAAGGCCCATTACAAACACCAGCTTTTTTGACTGCCCTCAGTGATAGCTGAGTGTTATCTTTTATTTGGCAGAGGTGTCTACAATATTATAGGTAGGCACACCTGAAAATAAACAAGTGAACGTGCAAGTACTTGACGTATGCCAAAATGTCAGCTTGGTAGTGGTACCTGTAGTTTTGAGTCATGCTGACACTAGGTAGCTGAAAGAATTATAAACAGAAAGGGAGATCGTAAATGTTGTTATTCATGTGTAACTTCGCTATTGGTTCTTCCTTTAACGTAATCGTACTGAGGGAATACAGTTTAGCAAAAATTTATGCTATTACAATACTGAAAATGGCAATGGAATAGCAATTTTAAGCATTTAATTATGAAATATGCCAGCAGAAAACTCTCTGCTGCAAGAGGATCAGTTCTCCTGTGTCAGGATGCCACATGAATTTCTAAGAAGTAAAGGTGGGAAAATAGTTTCTGAGAATGGGGGCAACTTTTTATATTGTTACATATCATTATATGATAAAATGGACTAAAAAATAACCTTATGGTTGTCGCAATTATGTTTGATTTTCATGCTAACTCTCCTGCATATATATATACATATATATATTACAGATAAGAATAGGAAAGTTCTGAAATGTCATCTATTTTGGTAGTGTCTTTTCACGTGGTTTTCCTGTCATTTTCAGGTCCTCAGCTGAGTGACATTATAGACACGTCACCTCCTGTCATTTTTAACAAGTCTAGAAGTCTTTGTTCACAAGTCAGTGAGACAGTGAAGGCATTGATATCTTATGAGTCTTGTATATAATCTGTGATAACTAAGAAGTTCTCCGCGTGAGACTAACAGTACTTGCTTTATGTCTTTGCTCCTATTGAAAGTGGATCTCTTGTAAACAATCTTGAACTTGCCTTATGTGAGAATGTTATGCAAAAAGCAAAGGCTTCTGCTAACTGTTATTCAGACTAAGGTCTTCCTGATCTGGATATGATTGTAGGCTATTTAATCAAAGAAGGTCTAAAGATTACAAAGGTAACTTTCAAGACAGCACAAATCCAGTTGTTGACAGAAGTAAATATATCCAGGAGTTCAAATAACCATCCTTTCTAATAATTCTTAATGTGTTTTAGGCACTTTTTAAGTCATAGATGAAGACTGTATAACTTCAGAGAGAGATAGAACTATGTTTTATATAATGTCTTAAAAAAAACTTAATAGCTGTTTTATACAAGAGAAAGCCGCTATATAATTACTGTGTTCAGTGTAATGGAGTCATCAGGATTTGTCACTACTGGAAAAAATGTTGATTTTACTGGATTATACTTTTCTCTCAATTCATAGTGTTTTTGACTTTTTCCTTATTACTTATGTCCCGTTCCGATTTTGCCTTCCTTTCAAGACTTTACACATCTGTGCTCCCTGAACTGTTTCTACTTAATAATTTTTCAAACTACTTCATTCAATGATTAAACTTTCTATGGCCTCTCTGTTCAATTGTTTATACTCTCCTGGTCATGTCTTTTCAGGACTGTTCAGCATTCTTAAAATTACTCTTTATTCAATTATATAATTAACTTTTTTCTTAAATAAGTTATATTCTCTTTACAGAAGATGACTTAGACATGTACAAATCTCAGCTTCTGGAGCTTCATCAAAGACTACTATATGCTGAAGAAGAAAACAAAAAAAGATCACATGAACTGAGCAGTGCCCTAAGTGAAATTAAACGTTTCGTTGCAAAATCAATGAACTCAACAACGAATCATACAGGTTTGTCTTGCTCCCCCTGCCATTTTTATTCTACTGAAGCCAAATGAACATCAAAAAGTGTTGACGTTGTCGGTTCACAGGATTCAAAGCAGAAATTTCTTTAACATCACTGTTTTTTTTTTCTATTTTTACTTAGTCTTCTGCTTCCCATTCCAACCTTGTTTTATCACATATAAACTAATAAGCTTTCCCTAGCCCACAACAGAGACTCCTTCTTATAAAAATGGAAAGTGCTTGAAAAGTTAGGCAGGCAATGGTTTCTATGTAGCAAAAATCCAGTATGTTTAATGGTAAATCAAAGTGGAAGGAGTTGCTCGTGTCTTTGTTCACAAAGGTCTAGACATATATATTAAAATGTTTTTCAAAGCTGAAACGGTGTTGGGGGGGGGAGAGGGAAATCTCTGGCAACATATCTTTCTTTTTTTGGTGAGAATATCTTAGAGACTGAAGAACTTCCAAGAGATACTGCCTTCTTGGTGAGTTTCTGGCAGTGTTTAACTGGATGAGTAAAGCTGAATATAGTCTCTTGTAGGGATTGTTTAAGGGGCTTTCAGTAGTGGTAAATTTGACAGTTTGTTCCAGATGCCTTTCTTAGGCAAAATAACTTCATTTAAGTCAATAAGCCTTGGGTTGCTCTACTGATTGTGAAACTGTGGGTTTTCAAGTTTTCTGTATCTTGGTTAAAATTATTTTGTTGGCTAAATTTACTTGAGGTATTGTTCGAAGTTCCCCATCCCCAGCCTCTTTACACAGACGATTGAAGTATCTGGAGGAGGTGCCCGCTTAAGTATGAATTATCTTAGGTGAATTAATGGGAGCTTTCTTTTCTTTCAGTGCAAGACACTTACCTTGTGGATAATTAGTAGGGTATAGAAAAGTTCAGTAGCAGAGATTGACAAACAGAATTGTTGTATGAGAGCCCAAGTCCGTTTAAGCCTTTAGATAACTGGTTAATATATAGCCTAGAGTATTTTTGTTTTGCTTCAAAGAAGGAAGCAAGCACCATTCAATATTCTTCCTCCATAAAATATAATCTCTTTTGGACACCTCCCCTTTACTTTTTCCTTTTTCAATTGCATTGTGCCTATAATCTACGTTCCTATGGCTGTCTTGCATTAACTATGATTTTTTTGTAAGTTTATCAGTGACGTTCTAATAATTTTAAAGCAGATTGTTCCAGATGTGTTAAACCTGAACATTTAAAAAGTTTATAAAAAGAAATATAAGTTAATAAAGGAATGTTATGTTTTTTATAGTTTGCACTTTTTCAAGAGGTTTGTATTTAAAGTCTATATTTAACATTAATAAGTATCCTATTTTTTATCTTTATTTTAAAATAATAGAGAATATTCCCTCTTTTTTTCTCTCTCTCTATTAGCTACAGCATATATGGTGTTGTGTGGGTTTTTTTTTTTTGGCTTGAATTTGATTGACCTTTTTTAAAAACTTGATTCTGATTGTCCTTTTCTTTTGTAGAAAACTTTATAACTTGAACTGTACTGAAAATTACCACAAGTTACGTTGGGGAAAAGCATTGAACTTTGTTAACATGATTTGTGTTAACATGTTTCTTTTTGTTAATTAAAAAAATGACCTGCCACCTGCACAAAGCATATATCAGCTTTCTCCAGCTGCATTTAAAACGACTTTTCACCCAATCCTGCAGTTATCTCTGCACTGAGAACTCCATCTGGAGTTCCACAGGTTATTCAGGATTGGAGCTTTGTGTTATTTTCTGGGTGTGAGGTTCTCAACTAATCTCTAACCACAGGCAGGGTTCAGTCTACTTGGGGTTTGTATATGCTATTGACATGCGTTGCCATGCACTCATTCCTGACATCTCGTCAGGCCTTTTCCTGAGGTCTGCTAGAGAAACTGGGAAACTTGTATTAGACTGAAGCAGGAATCAATCACCAGGCAAGCTCAGTATTAAGCATTGTGAAGTATTCATGTGAAATGTAATCCCTTCTGATAAATGATTCTGATTAAGTAACTTTGTATGTGTGGTAATCTAATATTTAATTGAGGAAAACATTTTGAATAAAGGTCTTTGCAGCTGGATTTTTATTTTATGTACATGTGTGGATTTGTTGTTTCTTTAAGATGATGTGAAGTGGAAAGTATTAAATCTCACCAGAAAATTTTCCGTGCATCTTCAAAACATGTACTGTTATCTACCTCACCTTCGAGAATATGAGGATTCCATTTTTCCAAATGTTGTCATTGGGCAAGAGAGAACCGGAGGTAAGAAACAAAACTTTTTGTTCTTAGTAAAGTATCTTTTTGGCTAAGATGCATTGGCTGATGTTTTTCCCACAAAATCAGTATGCACAAGGAACCCAAGAAGAATTTCCAATCTGCTCAATCTGTTAAAGATATAAGGAATTTGAAAGGTGATATATGAATTTGAAATATATTAGTAAAATTCCTACTCAACTTCTTCATCCAAGCGAGAAATCAACTTGATGCATGGAGGAAAAAGAGTGAATTCTGATGAACCATAATAAAAATGATTAAATTACAGCTTCTCCAAACTGTCAGGTAGTAGATAAAAAGAATAAGTCAAAAGGAGCAAACAAATTGCAAACTGGTCAGCCATTTGTTTGGTTTTTATATTCGTATAAGTTTTGACTTTTTTTGTAAAGAAAAACTAACAGCACTTTTGTTTTTAGTTAAGGAAAAACTTGTGATTGCTCATAAAAGCAGGTAACTTTCTACAGTCTTCTCACAAGTTAAGTGCAATTTTAGCAGTGTGGCCTAGTGCAGTAGTTCTTGCTGAGTGCCTGTAGATCCATGTTGGTCTGCAAAATACCAGAGGCAGTTACCAAACAGTTGCAGAAAAATCATGGAAAACCTGATGCATTCTCTAGCAAACATAAAAGTAAAAAATAATAGAAGAACACAAAGTTTATTTATAAATTGAAATCACAATAGCAAGACTGTATTACAAAAAGTACAGGTTGACCTTCAGTGTGTGGGAAGAAAAGTTAAAACCCAGTGGTTTTGCAAGTTACACACCGGAAAGGAACACTGGAACTTCTCTGGTTTTGAATTGACATTGATAACAATAATGAAGTCTCGACCAACTCACAACATCTATTCATTTCCTTCAAAATATGCTGCTTTCTTACCAGCCTCGCAAGCTTTTCATGACTAGGACAATTTTTCATGGGTTTACAGAGCAAGTGTTAGCTCTTCG